CCGGCATCCCACGGACTTCGGTCGTTTGGGTTCTTGTTCACCGCCCCCCCACCCCCGCTGCCGCCGTCATATTTGAAGGGGAGGCGTGGAGGAAGATTTGGGTGAAAAGACGTCGAAGATAGCCCCGATTGGGTTGCGGAGCTAAATGGGATTCGCCGCGGAGCGCGACTTTAGCTCCGTCTCCTCAGAAGTAAATCCTGTTGTGTTCACTGGGGCAGGTGACTTCCAGGCGAGTGTCTATAGCGGTGTTTCTCAAAATTTGGCAACTTGAAGACGTGTGGACTTCAACTCCCAGAATTCCCTAGCCAGAATGGCTGGCTGGGGAATTCTGGGAGTTGAAGTCCTTACGTCTTAAAGTCGCCAAGTTTGAGAAACACTGATCTATAGACTTGTAGCCTGACACCCAGTGGTACCTGTGCGTAAATTGTACCCTTCAATATAGTTCATGGCAGTACATGTGTTTGCCTTTATGGTGCAATCATAACACCTTTACGCTGTTATTTCTGTTGCAGGAAAGCTTAACGTAGTTCCCTCTTTGTTTAATAAGTTCATTCTTATTAATCCCCTGAAAACTCCTGTTATTGCTCCTTTTGTTATGGCACAACATATAATTGGGGCACGCAAACATCTTAAAAATTAGGCCAGAGCATCCCTAAAATAAAACAAGCTCCTGAACAAAATGAGGTGTAAAAAAGACACCCTCCCCCAGCTAGAAATAGGAAAAGCGAAGTATTTTGTATTTTTTCTGCCCCACAGATACATTTGGAAAAAGAGCCATGAAGGACTTAGACAAGATCTTTAGTGCAGAGTGGTCTCGTTGTGCAACAAAGCTCAAACTTGTTCAGATCATGGTATTTTTAATAGGGTCATATGAAAGTGAAAAAAAGAAAGGAAAAACATAGATGTATTTGAATTATGGTTGTCAGGTTCAGCCCAAGAACAACAACGAGGCAATCCAGTCCAGTCCAGTTCCTTTATTAGCTTGCACCTAATAGACAGAATCTCACCAGACTAAACCTATGCTAAAGCCACTAGTGGATATATCCCGTGAGACTAGCCTTATCCTCATCCAGCCTCATCCTCTTCCTCTTCCCACGCTCTTGCTGCAGACTGAGAAAGCGCTTGCTCTGGAATGTTCCCCCTCCCTCCTGATAACCTTGATCCTCCATTCCAGTATCTTCCTCGGTCAAGCCTTCCATTACAATGGTCCTGGCAAAGGATTCTGTTTGTACCATGGACTCCTTGAAGAACAAGTCTATCAGTGCTGGAGGAACAAGCCTAAACTTTTTGTAGCTCCAACGACAAGGCAGAGTGTGGTCAAAAAAGTCAGGGTGACAGCGACACACATAATAAACAGAGCTTTGATCACGTTGTCATGGCTGCCACCTTGACTTTTTTGACCATACCCTGTGGACACCCATGTGCAGTTTCTAAAACCCAAGGGAGCACGTTTCTTTATATTGGACTTAAAGCACACTTGTTACCCCAGTTCGAAATGGAATCCATGTAAAAGGTAGCCATGAATTCAGTGGACATGGACTAGCTCCCCTCTAGAAGCAAATTGAATTGACAGATGAATCAAATAAGACATTGTCAAATAAAACTTCTTTCCTAGATTAATACCTTAAAAGTGACTTAAAAACCGGTACCCAAATTTGCTTATTATCCTGTTCTGCATCCTTTTTCTATTTGATGACATGCCATTCTATTGTTTTATGTCATAGAGTTGGGATATTTGAGGGGCCTCCTCACCACAGTTACATGTACCCATCCCATCAGATCTGGCAGAAAGGGCATGTTGCAGGTCCCATCTACAAAGGAGTGTCATCTGATGGGACCCAGGAGGCGAGCCTTTTCTGCTGCAGCACCCGCCTTGTGGAACATCATTCCCCCTGACTGGCCTTCCAGAAGAGCCTGAAGATGTGGCTTTGTCATCTAGCCTGGGGATCCGGTGGTGTTGGTGGAAAGCCTGTTAAATGCTTATATATTTTAGGAAATGAATGGTGCTGTCCTGTAGATTATGTGCTTTTTTTTAATGGTTTAACAGTTTTATTGTTTTTAATGTTTTTATTTATTTTTTCCAGTTTTGTGTAGTTTTTGTATTGCTTTTTTGGTTTTTAACTCTGTAAGCTATCCAAAGTTGCAGCAGTGAGAAGATGGGCAGCTATATAAATAACAACAACAACAATAATCTGCAGCAAAATGAAATCAAATAGAACACAATATACTTGTGGGAATTGGGATATGACAGACAAAGATAATTTCGTGAGGTTATTGTTGCTAAAAGAAAAAGAAGAGACTAGAATAGAAATCTTTTTGTTATTTGATAAACTGGGGAAGGAAAAAGAAATCAATGGTTTTTGAATGGTTTGGTTTAAATTGAGGGGGAAAGAAGTACAAAAGTATCCTTTCCTTCTTTCTTTCTATGGCAACAGAAATATCATGATTACTACTCAGAAATGTATCATTATTTTCTAGGCTATAATTCTTTTACCATAAAAAAAATATTATCTAAAATTGTGTATCTGATTTGCAAACTATTTGAATATCTGGGAATAATGTATACTTAAACATCAAATAATAGATATTTGTCTTTAAAAATTACCAAAGTATCAATATTTTTTCTTTTGCAGGGTTCCTGTACCAATTGCCTAATAAGAACATGGGTCAAAAGTTTTGCCTCTTTCATTTGCAGTCACAGGATCTCTTCAGCAGGGGAAGGAGGGAAGCCAATTCCAATGGTCAGTCAATTATAGTCTGAACTCTGATGAAATTGTTCTATTCTCTTTTAAGTAAAGATTTATACAGAAAGGGCAGATAGAACAAGAATTTAATAGTTTCTTGTAAGATTACCAAACTTGGGCTCTGGGGGCTCCCAAGAGCCACAAAAATAGGACTGAAGGCCACAGGCACCCATAAGCTGCCTTCCCCTGGCTAAAAGGAAAACTGCCCCTGCTTCACTCATTCCTCCAGTTGTCATTTTTTATGTGCAAATATAAGCTGGTTCCTGCACTTGATTTTTTTTTCAAGAGTCCCCAAAGGCTTAATCCCATAGTGTATTGGAAATTAAGAGGGGATAATAGTATTTTCAAAGGAAGTATGTACAAGGATATTCTTGTCATTTAGGAAGGAAACAAAACACCTGTTTAACATAACACTCAGTTTTCATGCAGTTGTTTATCGCTAAGTAAGAAACATATCATCATTTTCCCTTTTGTATTAAGACTCTTATCTAGAAAGCAGTCAAGCCTATTTAGCAGAATTGCTATGAGGATGAAAGGGGTGGGGTGAGAATTATGTACATCCCTGCCCCAAGCTGTTTGGAAAAATCTATTCAAATTGTAAATAATAATTATAAAAGTAGGAGTGTACCTCTTACCATCAAACATCTGGGCAACCACTAGATGAGAGCCCAGAGATACAGAAAACTGCCATGGTTTAATTGAAAGGAACCTGAGGTTTGCAGGTATATAAAAAAATCTAAGACAGCTTTTTCTAAAAAAATCAAGCTCAAGTGAGACATGCTCAACAGCACTAGCTGGTTGGTCTTGCACAATACATAGACCAAGCTAAAATGGGAGTGGATAGTTTGGGGTTCAGTGTACTATGAGAAGGAGGACATTATCTTAGCATGTTGGGTGAAACAGACCATCACATTTATTTGACCAGATATACCAGTTTATGTGAGGATAGCAGTTAACATTTTGCTAGCCAATTAGCATTGTGCGAGCCTTGTCATTGTAATGTGATAATGATAAAGCAAAACTGAGAGATCAGGGCAGAGTAGAATACCCTATCAGAGGTGTCCATACGATGGGTCAAAAAAGTCAAGTTGGTGGTTGCAATGGTGCAATCAAAGCTCTACGTGTGTGTGTGTGTGTGTGTGTCACACAAAAGGTCCTTTTAAAAGAATCAGAAAAACCCTAGTTTTCACTACCCCACTCAGGCCCACTTTCAGAGCAAGAGAAGAGAAATTGATATCCCAGAAGATGGTGTCATTTCCAGCAGTGAAGAAAGAGATTGTAAGGTAATCTTAGCAAACCAATCAAAAGTAGGAAAGATGCATTGAATGGATGTGAAGCAAAGAGATGACAGATAAGGAGGAGGAATGCATGGATTTATAGTGGCAAAAATAGGCCATCTTTTTCATGCTGCTCTGTACAGGAACATGGGCAAGAACATGGGCCAAGATGGCAAGCAGAAACGGAGAGCTAAAACTGGAGATAAGAGGCAGACAGTATCTTGAAAGAACAGGACAATCAAAGGTTGGCTACTATAGGGTCTACAAGACAAACAGCCTCAACAGAAGAACGAAGAGGAGACAATTGTTTAAAGAGGATCACAGACTAAAGATGGAAGGAGTAAGAGACTGAATGTGGAGGGATTAGGCTGGGGGCAACTTGAAGGAGACAACATGATCAGGTGGAAGAATTCCACAATGGAGAGACTGAACACAGAGCTGTTTTTTCTTGGTGGACAAGATCAAAAGAGAGTTCAAGGCAAGTCCAGAGACAAAGATCAAAAGAAGAGATAAGAAATAGAATATGGAAAGTGGGTGAGTCAGAATAATTTTAACATGACGATTGCAATCACCATTTCACAGATGTAGCACAATAACAATTCTGTGTAGGCTTAGGTGTTGCAGAGAAGTTGACATCTTTTCAGTGTGGGTTTCCCTGGCAATTAACCAGCGACAATCTGTTCTCATGATTTTCAAAACAGTTCCTTCATTTTTAGTTTATTCAGTACAGGAAACAGGTTAGAAGGAAAGGATCACTACAGGTAGTTTATATAGATCTCTCTTTCTCAGTCCAGGCAGCATGCATCCGGTGAAT